GGTCTGGTTCCTGTTTTGTCCAGTTCATTAAGTTTACCAAGTTACACATTCCAAGTCCAGACTTTGGTAAAAGTCAAGATTTTCAACAATGATGGTTCACAGTTAAAAAAGTTAATAAAATTTAAGTTTTGAACATTTGATTTTTCACTCTAAGTTCAGCGCAAACACTACACATGAAATCAACACCATCTGATCCCCGCACACATCCTGGATCCAATTCTTTGCTCTTAGTTCATTTCATAATGTTTTATAGAAGTATCGGATCAGGACTTGGTATCGGCAGATACTCAAAATCAAAGGACTCCGAGGCAAAAAAATGTAATCAGGACATCCCTGGTCTTTCCCCTTGATAAAATTCACCAAACATTCTCTTTGTTCTGACTTTAAATCCTCGATCTCAGGAATCGTTGCCAACACAGAATATATCACTCTTTGCTGATTGTCTGGTGCTCGAACTTGCACTTCCGGGGTTTTTGCGAACCGTCTATTGTATTCTGATTCCTGACCTAGTCTCTGGAGAGAAATGAAATTGAGCGGAGGCACTAGGTGGTACCAGCCTGACTAACAGTCGCCTTGTCCTCAGTTCAGATGTTTCACTGCAGATTGACGTCCAAATACTTGACATAATTTACACGACATGTTTTAGTCCAGAACTGGTTTTGGACCGACGGACACAGTATAAACACGATCTGCACGTGCAAAAACGTCTGATATTTAGTGAGTAATGTCATACTGTGGAACATTCCAGACAGAGCAATGACGTATCCATAGAAACAGGTGACGGACGCCCAACCGAAAAGTTACACAATGCACCTTTAATCAAGAACAGTTCCGAAATGATTTTAGTGATTAAGTGTCAGAAAAAGTCCTTCCTTGTGCGTAAACTGTCTCTGTGTTTTGGAGTTTTCTGTTGCTGACACGAGCAGAAGGGATTCTTTTCTTTTCAACTTTTTGCCGCTGACCTGATGTAAAACTGTGATAAATATTGACCACAGGCACTACATTGTTGTTTGGGGTAAAAATGTAAAGCGAAGTGTCTTTTCCAGACTTTTTGAGCTGAAATTACATCACGAAAATGCACCTCTTAATCCTAAAGATGATTTCAGGACTTCTGGCTGTTCAAAACCAAAACATTTATTAGTTTTTAATTAGTTTTTTTAATCGCTATGGCAACGCCGGTCACTCTCCTACACCCTGAAACCCAGCGGACAGGTTTGGGTACGGGCTCTGTTAACGTTTACGTCACAAAACTGGAAGACGTTTGGAAACATGCGGACGACGACTTCCTTTGGGCTCTGACAAACCTGGGAAAACTGAGAAAATGTCCCGGTTTTCCACGGTTTGTGTTGGGAACTAGACCACAACTCGTCGTCCGTGTGTTTCCAAACGTGTTCCGGCGCACGTTTTGTGACTGAAAATCTCGACGCTCGACGATTCGACAAAAAATTGTATATATTTGAGTTCTGACTTCACGTTTTTGAGTTTGGATTTAAATAAAAAAATAAAATTCAGAAGATTCCGTCATTCTTGTTTTTTGCTGGACCAGGGGGAAGACTCTTGGATCACAGGTGGAGGTCCAACCAATCAGATTCAGCCGTTTCAGACAGACAGGCCAAACGACCAATCAGATTCAGCCGTTTGGAGCGAGGAGGCTGAAGGACCAACCGGATGCAGCCGTTGGGGGCGTGGGCGGGGCGTGGGTCAGATAAACGGACAGACTGAATACTGTGGTGTAATACTCCGGTTTAAAGCAGCTGACGATGGTCCCGGGAAAACGCCGAAAGTAAGGAAAAGTTTTGAGCTATTTTTCCCCAGAGAGTTGTAGAAGTGAGGACAGGTTTGGGGTTCCGGACAGGAGCCAGAAGGTCTACATTTTCATGGACTAAACCAGGACTAAACCAAGACTTTAGTTCTAGTCTAGTCCTGGTTCATCCCCACTTTAATTTGATTTAGTCCTGGTTCAGTCCCTGGTTTAGTCCTGGTTTATTTTCTGTTTTAGTCCTGGTTTCCTCCTGGATTTGATCTGGTTTAGTCCTGGTGTAGTCCCTCATGTAGTTCACTTTTGGTTCCTATTTTAGAAATTGTAATCCTTAATTTAGTCCCTAGTTTAGTCTGAGGTCTAGTCCTTGGTTTAGTCCCCGTTTTAGTCCAGTTTTAGTTAGTCTAGGTTTAGTTGTGGTTTAGACCTGGTTTAGTCTCAGTTTAGCCCCTGGTCTGACCCTGGTTTGGTTTAGTCCTGTTTTGGACCTGGTTTAATCCTGTTTAAATCCTGGTTTATTTCATAGATTCGATCTGGTTTAGCACCTGGTCTAGGCCCAGTTTAATCCTGTTTTAGTCCCTATTTTAGACCTGGTTTATTCCCTGATTTAGTCTCTAGTTTAGTCTCTGGTTTATTCCCTGTTTTGGTCCAGGTTATAGTTGTGGTTTAGACTTGGTTTAGTCTTTGGTTTGGTTTCAGTTTTGTCCTCTTTTGGACCTGGTTTAGTCCCAGTTTAATCCCTGGTATGATCCTGGTTTAGTTGCGGTTTAGTCCTGTTTTAGTTTGGGTTTATTTCAGGTATTTGATCTGGTTTAGCACCTGATCTAGGCCCAGGTTTAAACCTGTTTTAGTCCTCTGGTTTAGTCCAGGTCTAGCCCTGGTTTAGTCCCTGATGTACTTCTCCTTTGGTTCCTATTTTAGACCTGGTTTGATCCCTGATTTAGTCCCTAGTTTAGTCTCACGTTTTGCACTTGGTTTATTCCCTGTTTTAATCCAGTTTTAGACCTGGTTTAGTCCTGGTCTAGTCCCTGGTATGAACCTGGTTTAGTTTCGGTTTAGTCCTGCTTTAGCATCCTGATTATGTTCCTGTTTTAGTTCTGATTCAGACCTGGTTTAGTCCTGGTTCAGTTTTGGTTTAGTCCTGGTTTAGTTTTGGTTTAGTCCTGGTTTATAGTCTCGTCTGCTTTTCCAAAACCTGAACTATTTTCCTTAAATCCAGTGTTCTTCCGGGACTTTTGAGGCAGAATTCCACAAAACAAAAATCTGCAACCAACTTCTCGTTTGGCACCGTTTTAAAAACAGGGAGGAACGTTGTTTTTTTTGTTGTTTTTTATAAAGATACAAACGTCTTTACAAACATTTGGCAAAGGCTTCAAAAATACACCGTGAGAATCTGAGCTACTCTGGTTTGTACTTTTCACAAAATGTCTGTGCTTCGGGTTTTTCCTTGTGCTCTGCTCTGGAATAAAAACACAACAGTGACAGTCTGAGGTTACACCAGCAGAGGGCGCAAGGCTCTACGTGGGTCTATGAACGAGGCCAGACTTTAAAGACTTTAAAGAGGGGGTATGTGACTCTGTGGGGCATTAAAGACGGGGTATTTGACTCATTTTAAAAATGTTATATTTAGGGCCGGGCACATTAAAGGTTGTATAGAGGATTTTCCAAGGAACGAGAAATCCAGCGACTGTTTGTCCTTTTTCAAATGTTGCTCCTGCGTGAAACCACCCCCCTCCCCTACAGCTCCTACGTAGAAACACCTCCTCCCTCCTCCTCCTTACGCCACAAACAGGTTTGTTTACAGCCGGTGCTGCACATGACTTGTAAACAACTAACTACAGTGTTGGTTAGACAAGACGGAGAAGTGAGGAGCGGGGGGAGGGGGGCGCGGAGATTTCGTTCGCGGACGAGAAGTGAGGAGCAGGGAGAAGAGAGGAGAGGGAGAGAGAGAGAGGGAGGGAGAGGAGAGAGGAGAGGAGAGGGGAGAGGGGAGCGGTGCGCGGAGATTCCGTGCCCGGAGAAGTGAGGAGCAGGGGGAAGAGCGGATCGGGCAGTGGGGACAGGAGCAGGAAAGGGGAGCAGAGAAGGTTGCGCGGAGATTCAGTGCGAATGAACTAGCTACAACACGCAGCAGCAAGCGGACTCTTTCTTTGCCTTGAAAATTACGTTTTCAGACATAGGATATCGCTTTCGTGTCCTGAAAAACGTTTGTCTTGCTCTTGGAAATAAAATAAAGTACGTTTTCATAATAAGCAGAAGTTTCCTGTCCAGGAGTAATTTGTGGACCAGTGTGTCAGTCTTTAGACCCTTGCGTCTGCTTCAGTCGCGCCATCGCTGGAATGAATCTTCAAGAATCACCTTAGTTTGGTTTCGCTGCTTTTCCCCTTGTCTTCTTCTTTCAGCGACCTCAAAAAACGGACTTTTTTTTGCGGCGAACTGCTCCTGGATTCTTGTCGCCATCGCAACAAACTTTGTGCGAACTGCGAGGAAGATATAGGTCAAAAAAAAAGCCGCTAAGAACTGTTGCGTTGGTGGAGTAAACAGCGTCTGTGCGTCTTGCGTGTCTGTGGACTGTGTGACAGTCGTACGTAAACCACGTACTGGTGACGCGCAGGCAAGTCAGTTACGCTAGAAACGTAGGGAGTTTGATTGACAGCCTGTCAGCTCACAGATAACGAGGCAGTGTCGTTATCTATTGGCAAATGTTTAGCCCCACCACGTCCAGAGTTGATGAATTTTTATTCTCTTTTTTTGGTCATCATAATTACAAGGCTACTGCATCTATAATCTATCACTGACAATTTGAAACAAAAAAAAATCCTCCATACAACCTTTAACGCATAAATTTTGCGTTAACTATTTAAGTCATTAATGCCGACAATTATTTTAATGCTGTTAATGCAGTTTTTATTATTTATTCCTTTATTTTATTGGAAACGTTTGTTTCTCACTGGCTTTTATTTTGAAAACGTCCACCGTGAGCGTTTCTTTAAGTTTGACGTCTTTTCTTTACACTTTTTTCACTTTTTTCTGACCACGTGAGATGCAACATGTCCAAGCCTCCGCGAGTCGTGGGTTCGGTCGCGGTTTCAGCCGCGGGCTCCGGCTCTGGCCGGACCGACCGTGCGCTCTGAGCTGAGCTTGTTTCTTTACTTGCAGGGGGAATCACTGCTGACTGGATTGATTTCCCAAGAAATATCAGTCCAAGTTTATAACACTGATCTAGAAATTATTACTAGTGTCGTGTTTATTACTCACTGAATAAAAAGTATTGAAAAAATATATTAGTAGTACAAACATCCATTGAATATTTTTTCTTGAGCCTTCACAGAAAACCTTGACGACTCTGAGGGTTCAACTCTGAAAGAAAGTGTGTGGCTCTTTCATTTACATTTCCAATAAAAGTGCAGCTATACTCTACTTTTCAATTCATTAATTGGTTTTACGTATAACATGCGATTAATCGCGATTAATTTTTTTATTTTTGCCCAGCCCTAGTTATATCACTAGTTTTAGATGACGTCACCAAAAGCAGCTGGGGTCAGGAAGTAAAGACAGACGCACAGAACCTCGTTTACCTCTGCTGACTCGCCGCCTAAATTCTGTGCACTGTGTTTGCTGCAGCCGCTCTAATCGGGAGAAAGAAACATTTTTCATGGGCACTGAAGGTGTGTCACAGGGGAGTTAGTTTTAAGAAACTTACAGAAAAAAGACGACAAAAGTGAATCGACAATGTCCGACTAAAAACAGGAGGCACAGAAACGGACGATGCTCGAGTTTGCAGCGATCACTTTGTAACAACTGTATAATTTATTAATTAATATTTTCAAATTATTTTTTAGAAAGATGAGCATCATAAGTAATGGTAAACTGTCCGAACTTGTCATGCTAAAAGCTTCATGTGGTGCTCATTTTATTATCTTACTGTTGTGATTTGGTGTTTTATACCTTTTTATAACCAGTCAGATACAGAATAATCAGAAAAGTCTGACTTCTCCAGATCGTGCAGGTCATAAATTATATTCATACTTGTCCTTTTTAAAATGTTGCTCCTGCGTGACGACCTGAGAGACAATAGAAAACGACGCAGCCCTTTTTTTGTCGTCATAATCACAAGGCTGCTGCAGCTCTGTTCACAGCAAAAACTGAAGGGTTAAAATTTCAGGGTAAAATATTTCAGAGTTATTTTAACACAAAAAGTGTTATTTAACTATTTGAAAGTTTAATGGGGGTTGGAGTTGGGGTTATTTGCCAAAGTTGATTTGGTTCAAGTTAATTCAACTTCCTCTAGTGTTAATTTGGCTCCTCCCACCACCACTTCAAACTCCCGCGAGAGAAGACAAGTTTGAACAAACTTTACATCATTTCATCTTAAATTAACTCAAAGAGTAAAAATAAAACACCTCTGTGTGTTGTTTAGTTAAATGAGGATAACTCTACAAAGTGTTATCTGTTTACTCTCAAAACATTAATATAACTCTTGATTTCAGGGTTAAACAGGAACTTTGGTCCAGTGTTACTTAATTAACATTTCCAAAAATGTTAAATTAACTCAGAACAAATTGGACTCATATAAACCCTGAGAAAATGTTCAAATACATTTTGTGAGAGTCGATTTTAACGCTCCACTTTTTACTGTGTGACGCTATTTTGAACTTTCATTAACAATCTGAAACAAAAAAAAAAATCCTCCATACAAACTTTAACTTGATTTATAAGTCACTCCCCCTTCAGAGCACAATCACCACGCCGTGTACAGTTTCGTATCGTGTTTTTGTATTTTTATGAAGAATTTTCACGTGGGAGCGTGGGTGACGTGGGCTTGTGGGCGGAGCCTCGTACAGACTCGTACTGCTAACTGTAAGGAGGGTTTGAATAGGGCCCGGGAGAGATCTCTAGATTACTCAAACATGCACGGAGGACTCTAAAACCTCGTGTTTTTGATGACGGAACATTAGAACGTGAGAGAAAGCTCCAGAATACCCCCTCTTACTTTTCCCAAATACTTTTTAACCTAATAAGTAATTTCTTGGATCACTACTTTGTACTTCTACTTGAGTATCATTGTCTTGAAGTACCAGTGCTTTTACTCGAGTACTTCAGACCCCAGACTGTCACTTGTTGCTGTGAGAAGTTGGTTGCAGACGTGCGTCCTGTTTCACTCCGGCTCTTCGGCTCTGGTCCAGTCCAGGTCTTCATCAGAACCGTCGGAAAAACATCACCAAAAAGTGCAACTACAAACTCCCATTACGCTTAAAGGCAACATGAGAAACGTACAAAAATAAAACTCAAACACCTCCAGACCGGACGGTGGGGTTGGGTAGGACGCGCATGCTAGTCGTAAACACGGCGGTCATTGGCACAGTCGTTTTTGGTCACAGGAATCGTTTCGTGGCAAATCTGGTGCCGTTTTTTTTTTTTTTTTTTTTTTTGAAGAAATACTCCAAAAATATTTAAAAAGTTGAGTTTTGAATCCAAGCGTCCAGGAGAGTTCACAGTGTGGGAGCGAGCATGCACACGACCAACACAAACCAACAAAGGAACCAACGAAGGAACCGACGAAGGAACCGAGGAACCAAGGAACCAACGTCTGTGTAAACATCGACACTGCAGCAACAGGGAGGGCCTAAAGGGGGCGCTGTGTCCCTCCAACAACAGGAGGGGCAGGGGGCCAGGGGAGGAAGAGGAGAGGAGGTCTGGACCCTGGTCTGGACCCTGGTCTCTGGTCTGGATCGCTTGGGGTCCATCAGAGACTGGACTTCAGACCTAGGTCTAGACTCTGGTCTGGATTCTGGACCTCGGTTTAGACCTGGTCTCTGGTTTAAACCTGGTCTGGAGTCTGGACCTTGGCTTACACCTGGTCTGGACCTGGTCTCTGGTCTGGATCACTTGGGGTCCATCAGAGACTGGACTTTGTGGACCAGTTCTCGAGCGATCTTCAGGATGTTCTGGACGTCGTGACGCTCGGCCATCTCTGAAAAAAAACAAACAAAACAAAAAACATTTACTCAAAACTGTCCTGTGCATTTGACCCGTTCATTTGTCCTCCAGTTAAAGCACAAACTGTATAAAGACGTGGACTGAGGTTGAAGCGTTTCCTCTTTTTTGTGGCTCTTCAGGTTAAAGGAGAATCTCATTCAAATCAGTGGAGAATTTGGGAAAAGTTTTGCCGCTAAAATACATAATATTTATATTTTACAACAACTCACCCTTACGTAAGAGATAAACCTGTGTTTCTGTCAATAATCATAACATCGTTTCTTTAAGATCTCTTCTATATAACTGTGATAAACAGTATTTGTACTTTTAACATGTTTAATATTAACTCTAAAAATACTTTGTTTATGTTAAAGTTGATTACCGCCCTCTAGTGGACGCTTTTGGTTCAGGTTTTGTTTGTTTGTTTGTTTGGACTCACGGTCACAGACGATACACATCCCTGTTTTCAGCCTTGGGGCATCTTTGTTTGTAAGTTCAGTTTGTTTTCTGTTGTATTGTTGTTTTCTTGCAATTGTTTACATGTGGTAGAAAATAAACTATTGAAAAATGTGAGCTATTGCTACATTAATGAGTGCAGACTTTTATTTTGCTGGCAAAAATATATTTTTTGGTTGTGTAGCAAATCCAAAACTACATTTAATGAGGTCAAGATAATTATACAGCAATATCTCTGTAACAAGCTACAAGTTTATGTACAACTGTTTTGTTTCTCTGTATTTACATGTGCGTTGTCTGTACAGTTTATTAATACACATTTTTGTGTGTTCTGTTACAGTTTTACAAGAATCAGTTTTATCAGTCTAACCCTGGTACTGACACCACAGTGAGGACAGAATGGTATTTATATTATGATTTTATTTTTTTACTTACTGTACACACATTTATATAATTTATGTCTTATTGACACCAGTCTCTTGCTATTTTTTATTGCTATTTATTTAGAAGTTTATTTCCATTCTAATAAATATTTTTTACTCTTTGTTACTGTGATATAATGTGATGTGTGAGCTACTGTGTCCAAGTCATTTCCCATGTCGATCAATAAAGATCTACTCTCACCTATGCTCATGAGCTCTGGGTAGTGACTGAAGGGACGAGATCGCGGATACAAGCGCTCGAAATGAGTTTCCTCCGCAGGGTGTCTGGGCGTCTCCCTTAGAGATAGAGTGAGGAGCTCAGTCACACGGGAGGAGCTCGGAGTAGAGCCGCTGCTCCTCCACGTCGAGAGGAGCAGCTGAGGCTCGGGCATCTGTTCCGGATGCCTCCTGGACGTCTCCCTCGAGAGGTGTTCCGAGGCCCCGGGGAAGACCCAGGACACGCTGGAGGGACTATGTCTCTCGGCTGGTCTGGGAACACCTTGTGGGTCCCCCGGAGGAGCTGGAGGAAGTGTCTGGGGTGAGGGAAGTCTGGGAGTCCCTGCTTAGACTGCTGCCCCTGCGACCCGACCCCGGATAAGTGGAAGAAAATGGATGGATGGATCAATAAAGTCTAAGTCTAAGTGTAAACTCTGACAGAGTCAGTTGATTTGTGTAAAATGTTGATGTGACCGTCACGTCTCACTGCAGAGATTCTCTGGAGGATTTAAAACGCCACATGCAGAATAATAAAACCCCAAAGAAGATCACGGACAAACACACGTCAAGGCTTTCACAATCTCCCAGAGTGAAGGGAATTCAAACCAAAACCTGAGACAAAATCCAAGGCCCGTCTGGTTCTCCTCTGACCTTCTCCTCTCCTTCTCCTCTGACCTTCTCCTCTGCTCCTTTGCTCTTCTCCTCTGACCTTCTCCTCTGACTCTCCTCTGCTCCTCTGACCTTCTCCTCTGCTCCTCCACTCTCTTCTGCTCGTCTGGTTCTTACCGTTGAAGAACTTGATGATGTCCGTGAAGTCCATGTTGTTGTGGATGATGATCTCTCTGTAGACCGTGACCAGGGCCAGAGCCATGAAGAGGACGAAGTGTCGGGAGGAGACGCGAGGAGAAACCCAGATGACCTCCCACACCGAGAACACGTCCTCGTACAGCAGCTCTGAACGCAGCACAAAGAGTCACGCAAACACAAAGTCAACGTCTGTCAAACGCTTTCCTCCATGGAGATGTTACTGCTTTGTCTGGAATGTTTCACAGTAAGACATTAAACTTTTCTATCTTCATGGAGATCATTTTTGAGTTTTAAAACCACCTGTGACTGAAGAAATGTCAAGTAGAGCTGTTTAATGTCACAGTGTGGGACATTCCAGGCACAGCGATGACGTCTCCATGGAAACGAGCAGGTGTGTGGACGTCTCCTGGTCGTGTTTATAAAACGGTGTGAGAGTTTGAAGGTTCACCTCTCTTAAAGTCCAGCAGGAACCATCTGTAGCAGAAGTAGAAGTGAGTGTAGTCCCCGTTCTGCTGCATCAACTCGAACAACTCTGAGTCCAGGATCTGAGGAGGAGAGAGGGAGGAGAGGAGGAGAAGAGAGAGAAGAGGAGAGAGAGAGGAGGAGAGAAGGGAAGGAGGAGAGTAGAAGAGGAGAGAAGGAAAGGAGAGGAGAGAAGGAGAGGAGAGAGAAAGAAAGGAGAGGAGGGGAGGAGGAAAGGAGGAGAGAAGGAAAGAAGAGGAGGGGGAGGAGGAGAGAAGGGGAGAAGGAAAGGAGGAGGGAAGGAAAGAAGGACAGAAGGGGAGGAGGAAAGGAGAGGAGGAAAGAAAGAAAGAGGAGAGGAGGAAAGAAAAAAAAGGAGGAGGGAAGGAAAGAAGGACAGAAGGGGAGGAGGAGAGAAGGAAAGGAGAGGAGAGAAGGAGAGGATGAAAGAAGGAAAGGAGAGAAGGAGAGAAAAAAGAGGAGAGAAGGAAAGGAGGAGAGAAAGAGTGAATGAGAGGAGGAAGGGGGGGAGGAGGAGAGAAGGAAAGGAGGAGTGAAGGAAAGAAGAGGAGAGGAGGAGAGAAAAAACAGGAGAAGGGAAGGAGAGGAGGAAAGGAAAGGAGGAGAGGAGGAGAGGATGAAAGGAGAGGAGAGGAGGAGGAAAGGAGAAGAGAAGGAGAGGAGGAAAGGAGGAGAGAAATAAGAGGAGAAGGGAAGGAGAGGAGGAGAGGAGAAGAGAGAAGGATGAAGGGAGAGGAAGGAGGACAGGTAAAGGGAAGGTAAAAAGAAGTAGAGGCAGAATAGACAGGAGCGAGAGAGAAAGAGTAAACAGAGAGAGGAAAGGAGGAGGGAAGGAAAGAAGGACAGAAGGGGAGGAGGAGAGAAGGAAAGGAGAGGAGAGAAGGAGAGGATGAAAGAAGGAAAGGAGAGAAGGAGAGAAAAAAGAGGAGAGAAGGAAAGGAGGAGAGAAAGAGTGAATGAGAGGAGGAAAGGGGGGGAGGAGGAGAGAAGGAAAGAAGAGGAGAGGAGGAGAGAAAAAACAGGAGAAGGGAAGGAGAGGAGGAAAGGAAAGGAGGAGAGAAGGAGAGGATGAAAGGAGGAGAGAAGAGAGGAGGAGGAGAGAAATAAGAGGAGAAGGGAAGGAGAGGAGGAAAGGAGAGGAGAAGAGAGAAGGATGAAGGGAGAGGAAGGAGGACAGGTAAAGGGAAGGTAAAAAGAAGAAGAGGCAGAATATAGAGGTGGGGGGGGGGGCAGACAGGAGCGAGAGAGAAAGAGTAAACAGAGAGAAGAGGTGAGACACATTAGAGCTGAATGATCGTATTTCCACAAGGAGAGAAGAACATACATCACACAAACGTTTAATTATATCAGAGACGGAGAGATGGAGACAGAGAGATGGAGAGACAGAGAGAGACAGAGAGATGGAGACAGAGAGATGGAGAGATGGAGAGATGGAGACAGAGAGACAGAGAGATGGAGACAGATGGAGACAGAGAGATGAGAGACAGAGAGAGACAGAGAGATGGAGAGATGGAGACAGATGGAGACAGAGAGATGGAGACAGATGGAGACAGAGAGATGGAGAGATGGAGAGACAGAGAGACAGATGGAGACAGATGGAGACAGAGAGATGGAGAGATGGAGAGACAGAGAGAGAGAGAGAGAGACAGATGGAGACAGAGAGATGGAGAGATGGAGACAGATGGAGACAGATGGAGACAGATGGAGACAGAGAGATGGAGACAGATGGAGACAGAGAGATGGAGACAGAGAGATGGAGACAGAGAGATGGAGAGACAGAGAGATGGAGACAGATGGAGACAGATGGAGACAGAGAGATGGAGAGACAGAGAGACAGAGAGATGGACAGATGGAGACAGATGGAGACAGATGGAGACAGACACACAGACTGAGAGCATTTTCAGTCCAACAGAACCGCGCTGGTGCAGGGTCCAGTACCGAAGCTCGAACCGACTGACAGGTGCACGTCAAAAATCAGAACGTTTGGAAACTGAAAAGTTGGTTCCCGATTTCCAAGAGAAATGTGACGACACGGCGAACGTGAGCAGATTGATCCGGGTCACACACAGGAAAATAAACAAAGAAAGAAAAACGCGTGTGTGGAACATGGAGGAGAAATCAAGTGACAGAAGATTGTGCAGTGGTCAGAAGAAGAAGAGGAGGAGGAGGAGAACAAATATTTGCTTGTCTCTGTGTTCGAACGGTGAGGTTCCATCTTTGGATTGGGCATCGCTGCCGCCTTCTCCACAGCAGATGTTTCTCCACACAGATGTTTCTCCACACAGATGTTTGTCCACAGCAGATGTTCCTCCACACAGATGTTTCTCCACACAGATGTTTCTCCACAGCAGATGTTCCTCCACTGCAGATGTTTCTCCACACAGATGTTCCTCCACACAGATGTTCCTCCACACAGATGTTCCTCCACACAGATGTTCCTCCACAGCAGATGTTCGTCCATAGCAGATGTTTCTCCACACAGATGTTTCTCCACTGCAGATGTTTCTCCACTGCAGATGTTCCTCCACAGATGTTCCTCCACACAGATGTTTCTCCACACAGATGTTTCTCCACACAGATGTTTGTCCACAGCAGATGTTTGTCCATAGCAGATGTTCCTCCACAGATGTTCCTCCACACAGATGTTTCTCCACACAGATGTTTCTCCACACAGATGTTTGTCCACAGCAGATGTTTGTCCATAGCAGATGTTTCTCCACAGATGTTCCTCCACACAGATGATTCTCCACAGCAGATGTTTGTCCACACAGATGTTTCTCCACACAGATGTTTGTCCACAGCAGATGTTTCTCCACAGATGTTTCTCCACAGCAGATGGTCCTCCACAGATGTTCCTCCACAGCAGATGTTTGTCCATAGCAGATGTTTCTCCACAGATGTTCCTCCACAGCAGATGTTCTTCACAGCAGATGTTCGTCCACAGCAGATGTTTCTCCACAGATGTTCCTCCACAGCAGATGTTTCTCCACAGCAGATGTTCCTCCACAGCAGATGTTCGTCCACAGCAGATGTTTCTCCACAGATGTTCCTCCACAGCAGATGTTTCTCCACACAGATGTTCCTCCACAGCAGATGTTCGTCCACAGCAGATGTTGTAGCAGAGCTTGGTGCAGATAAATCTCTGGTGTAGATGATTTGATCCATGTTTGTAATTTTCTGCTTTCAAATAACCTTCGTTTTATTTGGTGGTAAATCCACACCTCTGTCGATGATCATCATGGGTTGAATGTGGGTTGTTCACCAGTGAGAACTTTGGTTCCTGGTGGAACTAGTGTAAGGAACTGGCACTGGCACCGTTCTGGCTGGTCTAAAAACAGCTAGAGAGAGAGAAAGATGGACAGAGAGACAGAAAGAGAGAAGAGAGAGACAGAGGCTTTACCTGGATGAGGGACCTCATGTTGGCGAAGTGTGAGTCCATCGCTCCTCCGTTTGGAAAGTTCTGACTCATCCTCTTCATCAGCTGAGTGAAACAACTGTACGCCAGGCACTCTGAGAAATATATGAACCATTACACAAGAAAGAAGATGAGAAGATGAGAAGGAGGAGGATCAGGTGGAGCAGAGGATTCTCACCGTCGTCCAGAATGACCATAAGAGGCGCGAGGAGGTCACACATTCCCTGGACGTATCCTGTCTCCAAATGCTCCCAAACGTAACTGAGGAAGAGAAGGAAAAAAACTTTAAAATTCTAAATTCAGTTCATTGTACACACACTGTAACACGGGGAGGGCATCTGACACACGGCACCTGCACATGATGTTCCGGAGCTTCTCCAGGTTGGCCGTGGTGAAGTAGTGGTAGTTTCGGTCACACCTCTGCACGTCTTTGTCGATTCTGTGCAGGTTCAGAGCCACAGTGTCCAGCAGCTCAATCTGTGGAAACACCGGGACGACAGGTCGACAGGTCAGACTCCAGAGCTCCAGCTCAACATTTAAAGCTGCTCTGTGTAACTTTTCTACCTGACATATTCATCTAGACCAGGGGTGTCAAACTCATTTTGGTCCGGGGGCCGTGTCCAACCGACTTTGATCCCAAACTCATGTCATATAAACCCCAAAAATAACAATAGGTTCAAATATTTGTGCAGAGAAACACAAATCTATTACAGAAATCTTTTTTAATTGATGAATTCTTTCTTTTACAAAATATTATAATATAATGAACAACCTGAAACTTTAAGAAAAATGTAATTTCAACACAAAGTTTTAACATGAACTTGAGCTACGTTCAGACTGCAGGGCTTAACGCTCAATTCTGATTTTTTTGTGAAATCTGATGTTTTTTCAGCTCGTTCACATTTCCAGTTAAATGTGACTTGTATGTGACTCCAGTGTGAACATTAAACGACCCAAAAGTGTCCCACATGTGACACTGGAGACACGACGACGTCAACCGCAGCGAGCGTCTCTGTGTTTACAGAAGTTGTCCAAACATGGACGCAGCATCGAGCACCTGGAGATTTTAAAGTTCCTCTCGTACCAGAGCCAGAACATGAACAACTTACTTGTTTTAAGGAGGAGATTGAGAAGGAGAAGGACGAGGTTTTTGGTCGTGGTGTTTTGTGGTGAGTGGAGATGTGCTTCACTTCAGTCACACAGAGTTCATTAACAATTTTCACCTACTTCAGTGCAGAATAGTGATGTTTGTGTCTTGTTGATAACGTGTAGGTGGATGAATGAACTTTGACCGTTCAGACTGAAGTCACATGTCAAAAGATCAGATATGTATCAGTTTCAGGAGCAAATATCCAAGTGTCCTGGGTCACATTTGAAAAATCGGATCTGTGTCATTAAAAGATCAGACACAGGTCACATAGGGGCCAAAAAATTGGATTTGGGTGACTTCAGGCTGCAGTCTGAACGTAGCCTTGTTTGCAAATAGGAATAAGTCAATTTTTGTTGTAAAATCCTGCACTCGGCTCCACTTTTCTCATGTTGGACATTTTTCTGATGAGGGTGTCACGGTCAACAGTCAAAACGATCGTCCTTTAAGAGCGTTTGGAAAGAGACAAGTCTTCATTTGCTGCTCTGGTGGGAGGGGCCACGTACAGAGACGCTGGAGACGCTGCTGTGATAAACACCACAGAAAATTAACAAGATTTTAATAGAAAATATAATTAAAATATTTTAGTAGAAAATCAGCCGAGGACCAGATTAAAGGTCTTTGGAGGTCCGGATCTGGCCCCCAGGCCGTATGTTTGACACCTCTGATCTAGAGTTTATTCTTTATTCTTTATTTGTGTTTCTGTCGTGGGTGAAAAAAAAGTCTAAAGGCTAAACTCTGATAAAACTTGATTTCTGTCAAAAATAAAAATCAGATCAGACTGAGACAGAAGTGTTTATGGACCAATGACCTGGAAAAGTCATGGAAATTTGTAAATCCAATGAAAGTTTTAGAAACGTCATGGAATTTTTGTATCTCTTTCGCACAACTCCAGCGTTCTGTTAAGTTCTCATTAAACTATTCTGATTATTTCTGAACATCTGCACCTTTATGTTTAAAAGAGACGACAATAAATGCTCTGACAGGATTTTAAATGTTCAAAAACTATGATCCCAAACCATAAGGTGAGTGGAAAGAGTTCACATTTCAGATTTAGCCCTAAAAGTCTGATCAATTCTACACATGTAGGTGCTGTAAAGTCATGGAAAAGTTTTGAAATTTTGTCAGTGAAAAAGAGTGGGAACCCTGTAAAGATAATACACAAGTTTTTGTCATGTAAACAGACTGGATTATTTGCTTTTTGTCTGAGATGTGGAAATTATGTCTCTTTAACAGCTGGAGCTAAAGTAACGGTTTATTTAGTCGTGTTTTAATCAGAATCTGGATCAGAGTCATAAACCTGCACTTTTCTCCGCTTCATTCGGTCGTGTTGTGTCCAGTTAAACTCCTGCCGCTGAACGCTGTTGTTTTCCCGACTCTTCCAGTGCATTGTGGTCTAAACTGACCGCTCTAGTGACCGCCAAAGCCCATTACTGTTCAAGGTGCATTGTGGGAGATTTTAAGTGCACTACTTTTTCACTCTCTGGTCATTTGGACACCAACAAAAATCTGTGTATCATTCGTTCATTCGCGATGTTGGACTTTTGTATCGGACTGAACCAGGACTGATCCAGGTCCGGGACCAGACCGGGACCAGACCGAGACTGAGACCAGACCGGGACCAGACCGAGACTGAGACCGAGACTGAGATCAGACCGAGACCAGACCGAGACCAGACTGAGACTAAGATCAGAACTGAGACCAGGACCAGACCGGGACTGAGACCAGACTGGGACCAGACCAGAGGCTCAGCGTCCACGGCAGGGCTGGAGCTCGAAGCTGAGTCTCGGACCCCGCGGAGGCTCAGAGTCAAACCTCGGAGTCCTCCCTGGTCCCGCCCTGGTCCTGCTCTGGTCCCGCCCTGGTCCCGCCCTGGTCCTGCTCTGGTCCCGCCCTGGTCCCGCTCTGGTCCCGGACCTGGATCAGTCCTGGTTCAGTCCGTATGCAGCGCAAAAATTCGCAAAAGTCACGGAAGTCACGTAAACGGGAAACGGCTGTTATCCATTTTTTCCATTTTTAATTTAAACACAAAATCGCAAACTGAAAAAATGAATCATTATTTGTTTTTTTTGGTTTTGGAGACAAATAATGAAGAAAACTGTTGTTTTTTCGTTTTCTTATTTTTGGTTTTATATTGAAAAATGAGCGAATGACACACGGATTTTCCATGTAAACCTCAATTCAGAATTATTATTTCCACGTAAACTCCAAGGAGAATATTTAACATGGGCGTTATAAAAAGGTAAATAAATATAATACAGACTGTATATTTTTACCGTGTAAGACGACAGAGACGGGGAGATCTTCTCTGCTTTCTCTCCGTTGGTCACCAGTCTGTCGAGCTGAGAGCAGAGTCTGTCCGTGTCTCTGGTCCTGGTCTGGTCTCCTGGGTCTTGGCTCTGGTCTTGGCTCTGGTCTTGGTCTTGGCTCTGGTCTTGGCTCTGGTCTTGGCTCTGGTCTTGGCTCTGGTCTTGGCTCTGGTCTTGGCTCTGGTCCGTGGTCTCCTCGTTGGTCTCCTCGTTGGTCTCCTCGTTGGTCTCCTCGTTGGTCTCCTCGTTGGTCCCGGGCTCCTCCTCCGTGCTGGACGTGATCTGTGAGTGGGCAGAGGTCACAGAGTAGTTCCTGGACGAGGGCAGGCCCGAGTCCGGAGAGTCGAACTCCAGCAGGGGGCGCTCCTCGGGGGGCAGGGCGTGCGGGGGGAGCAGGGTGGAGGTGGGAGGGGGCGTGTCCTCGGTGCTGGGGGGGCTCTGGGCTCCGTCAGGCTCGTCCACCGACATGAACACCTGAGAATACAAGAGGGTTAGAGCAGGTATGAGCACAGACGCAGATACAGCGGCTCATATGGAGCTTCCATATTTAGAATTTCAACCAGAAACATCAAACCAACTAAAGAGCCAATCAGGAGCAAGACTGTTAAAGGTAACGCCCCAGGTTTGATTGACAACACTGTCAACAATCCTATTGCTAACACTAGGGAGTGACCTCAGGACTGGTCTGTTATTAATGATCAGAACTTGATTTAGGGACAAAATGTTGAAAAAACCCCAGCATCATGTAGAGCGGGTTAAAAACAGAATTTTAAAGTCAGAATGCTGAGTCTGGCAGCAGAAGTTACAGAAAGAGAGGTAAAGTAAATTGGAGCTAGAGTTGATGGAGCCAGAAGGTCACCCATGATCACTTCCAGTTTGGAACACAGCGGGTCGCAGGTTAAACTGTGTCCATTTATATAAACAGTCTGTGGGGGGTGGGAGCAGCATCATGTGGCTGCCTCAAGGGTGAAGTATAGTTCTGCGTCGACTCAACGCGCTCTGCCGCCGTCGCCTTGTCACCGTCGTTTTTGATTTATGGATCTGCGTCGAGGTCTGAGCACTGTGGAGTAATTCACCACCAAAACACCAGGGGGCGACGATATCTGTCCATTCATATATACAGTCTATGTGTGTGACCTGCAGATGTATAATCTGATCAATTTAACATGAACCATGTCCGACAGGACTCAGCATTAGTACAACACACCTCTGTCACAGAAAGAACACTCATATTCCACTGAGTCGTGTCCTTTTTAAGTCCGACAGAAGCTGAAACGCGTCAGGGCACAAGGAACGATCTGTTTTTAAGTGCTTTGTTTGTGTGTTCTCTCTGTTCTCTCTGTGTTCTCTCTGTGTTCTGTGTTCTCTCTCTGTGTTCTCTCTGTGTTCTCTCTGTGTTCTCTCTGTGTCTCTCTGTGTTCTCTGTGTGTTCTCTCTGTGTTCTCTCTGTGTTCTCTCTGTGTTCTCTCTGTGTCTCTCTCTCTGTGTCTCTCTGTGTTCTCTGTGTTCTCTGTGTTCTCTCTCTGTCTCTGTGTTCTCTCTGTGTTCTCTCTGTGTGTTCTCTGTGTTCTCTCTGTGTCTCTCTGTGTTCTCTGTGTTCTCTGTTCTCTGTGTTTCTCTCTGTGTTCTCTCTGTGTTCTCTCTGTGTTCTCTGTGTTCTCTCTGTGTTCTCTCTGTGTTCTCTCTGTGTTCTCTCTGTGTTCTCTCTGTGTTCTCTGTGTTCTCTCTGTGTGTTCTCTCTGTGTCTCTCTGTGTTCTCTCTGTGTTCTCTCTGTGTTCTCTCTCTCTCTGCTGTGTTCTCTCTGTGTTCTCTGTGTTCTCTCTGTGTTCTCTCTGTGTTCTCTCTGTGTTCTCTCTGTGTTTCTCTCTCTCTGTGTTCTCTGTGTGTTCTCTGTGTTCTCTGTGTGTTCTCTCTGTGTTCTCTCTGTGTTCTCTCTGTGTTCTGTTCTCTCTGTGTTCTCTCTGTGTTCTCTCTGTGTTCTCTCTGTGTTCTCTCTGTGTTCTCTCTGTGTTCTCTGTGTGTTCTCTCTGTGTTCTCTCTGTGTCTCTCTGTGTCTCTCTGTGTTCTCTCTCTGTGTTTCTCTGTGTTCTCTCTGTGTTCTCTCTGTGTTCTCTCTGTGTTCTCTCTCTGTGTTCTCTCTGTGTTCTCTCTGTGTTTCTCTGTGTTCTCTCTGTGTTCTCTCTGTGTTCTCTCTGTGTTCTCTCTGTTCTCTGTGTTCTCTCTGTGTTCTCTGTGTTCTCTCTGTCTGTGTTCTCTCTGTGTTTCTCTGTGTTCTCTCTGTTCTCTTGTTCTCTCTGTTTCTCTCTGTGTTCTCTCTGTGTGTTCTCTCTGTGTTCTCTCTGTGTTCTCTGTGTTCTCTCTGTGTTCTCTGTGTTCTCTCTGTGTTCTCTCTGTGTCTCTCTGTGTTCTCTCTGTGTTCTCTCTGTGTTCTCTCTGTGTTCTCTCTGTGTTCTCTCTGTGTTCTCTCTGTGTTCTCTCTGTGTTTCTCTCTGTGTGCTCTGTTCTCTCTGTGTTCTCTCTGTGTTCTCTCTGTGTCTTCTCTCTGTGTTCTCTGTGTTCTCTGTGTTCTCTGTGTCTCTCTCTGTGTGTTCTCTGTGTTCTCTGTGTCTCTCTCTCTCTGTGTTCTCTCTGTGTTCTCTGTGTTCTCTGTGTTTCTCTGTGTTTCTCTGTGTTCTCTCTGTGTTCTCTCTGTGTCTCTCTGTGTTCTCTCTGTGTTTCTCTCTGTGTTCTCTCTGTGTTCTCTCTGTGTTCTCTCTGTGTCTCTCTGTGTGTTCTCTCTGTGTTCTCTCTGTGTTTCTCTCTGTGTTCTCTCTGTGTTCTCTCTGTGTCTCTGTGTTCTCTCTGTGTTCTCTCTGTGTTCTCTCTGTGTTCTCTCTGTGTTCTCTCTGTGTCTCTCTCTGTGTCTCTCTCTGTGTTCTCTCTGTGTTTCTCTGTGTGTCTCTCTCTGTGTGTTCTCTCTGTGTTTTCTCTCTGTGTTCTCTCTGTGTTCTCTCTGTGTTCTCTCTCTCGTCTCTCTGTGTTCTCTCTCTGTGTTCTCTCTGTGTTCTCTCTGTGTTCTCTCTGTGTCTCTCTGTGTTCTCTCTGTGTTCTCTGTGTGTTCTCTCTGTGTTCTCTCTGTGTTCTCTCTGTGTTCTCTCTGTGTTCTCTCTGTGTGTTCTCTCTGTGTGTTCTCTGTGTTCTCTCTGTGTTCTCTCTGTGTTCTCTCTGTGTGTTCTCTCTGTGTTCTCTCTGTCTCTGTGTTCTCTCTGTGTTCTCTCTGTGTTCTCTCTGTTCTGTGTTCTCTCTGTGTTCTCTGTGTTCTCTCTGTGTTCTCTCTGTGTTCTCTCTGTGCTCTCTCTGTGTTCTCTCTCTGTGTTCTCTCTGTGTGTTCTCTGTGTTCTCTCTCTCTGTGTTTCTCTCTGTGTTTCTCTGTGTTCTCTCTGTGTTCTCTCTGTGTTCTCTGTGTTCTCTGCGTGTTCTCTCTGTTCGTACCTCGTTGCTGAGCGTGGAGTCGCGGTGCACCAGTCTCAGGACGTGGCTGTCGATGCTGCTCCCTGACGACAGTTTGGCAAAGATGGCCGACTGCATCTCCTTCTCCCTCTGCCTCACGATGAGCTCGCAGGCTTTCCACTCACGCACCACCTGCTGGTAACGCTCGGAAACGCGCGCGTCCACCTCAAACACACACAGAACAAACACACATCGGGTTTAGTCTGACACACGAGCAGCTCTGCGGAGACTCGTCCAGGGGTGTAGAACATCTGCACACACGTCCTGCTTCTGACACCAACGTTCTACTTTCTCAAACTGTGGTCCAGCTCCTTCAGGTGGGACTGGAGCTCTTCAGTTTGTGGGTTTGTCTAAAGCTCATTTGATCCACTTTGTGTCCCTGGATCATTTTCTGTTTAAAACTACAGTGGAAATGATGTAGTCCACGTTTAGACCTGGTTTAGTCCAAGATTAGACCTGGAATTAGTCCTGTTATAATCCTGGTTTAGACCTGGTTTAGACCTGGTTTCATCCACGATTAGACCTGTAATAGTCCTGCTTTAGACCTGGTATTAGACCAGGAATAGTCCTGTTTTAGACCTGGTTTGGACCTGGTTTGGACCTGGTTTGGACCTGGTTTAGACCTGGTTTAGACCTGGTTTAGACCTGGTTTAGTCCTGGTTTAGACCTGGTTTAGTCCTGGTTTAGACCTGGTTTGGACCTGGTTTAGTCCTGGTTTAGACCTGGTTTAGACCTGGTTTAGACCTGGTTTAGACCTAGTTTAGAACAGGTTTCATCCAAGATTAGACCTGCAATAATCCTGTTGCAGACCTGCTTTAGACCTGGTTTAGTCCTAGATTACACCTGGAATTAGACCTGAAATTAGACCAGGAATAGTCCTGTTTTAGTCCTGGTTTAGACCTGGTTTAGACCTGGTTTAGACCTGGTTTAGACCCGGTTTAGACCTGGTTTATTTGCCTGGACAATCTGCTTTAAACTGTGCTTCTGTCTACAGCCTGATAACGTTCATTTGAGAGTCTGAGGTCAGTACCTGTGTGGGGTCAGTACTTGTGAGGGGTCAGTTCTTGTGAGGGGTCAGTTCTTGTGAGGGGTCAGTTCTTGTGAGGCGTCAGTACTTGTGTGGGGTCAGTTCTTGTGAGGGGTCAGTTCTTGTGTGGGGTCAGTACTTGTGTGGGGTCAGTTCTTGTGAGGGGTCAGTTACTTGTGTGGGGTCAGTACTTGTGTGGGGTCAGTACTTGTGTGGGGTCAGTTCTTGTGAGGGGTCAGTTCTTGTGTGGGGTCAGTACTTGTGAGGGGTCAGTTCTTGTGAGAGGTCAGTACTTGTGTGGGGTCAGTTCTTGTGTGGGGTCAGTTCTTGTGTGGGGTCAGTTCTTGTGTGGGGTCAGTTCTTGTGAGGCGTCAGTACTTGTGTGGGGTCAGTTCTTGTGAGAGGTCAGTACTTGTGTGGGGTCAGTTCTTGTGTCGGGTCAGTACTTGTGTGGGGTCAGTACTTGTGTGGGGTCAGTTCTTGTGTGGGGTCAGTTCTTGTGTGGGGTCAGTACTTGTGTGGGGTCAGTTCTTGTGTGGGGTCAGTACCTGGCTCAGGTCTTTCTTGTTCATCCCAAACTTGTAGTGTCCCAAGAGGAAAGGCCACACCTCCTTCCTGATCTCGTGCTGGACGCCTCCATAATAAACCAACCGCAGCAGCTCCAGCTCTTTGTAATTCTGAAGAAAAAAAGACAAAACATGTGATTGGTCTAAAACAGTTTGATTGACAGATATTAAAACACTATATAAGGCTGCAGGGGGCGGGGCTTGTGACGCAGGTTTAAATGAATGAGATCCAAAATGTCCGCCGCCGTCGCACACTTCATTTTTCCCTCGTTAAGATTCGGTCCCTGGAGGAGAATGGGGCTGTGGTAATAATAGAACCTGTGATGAGGCTCAGAATAGACGGAGAAACGCCTGCGTCACAGAAGCGCTCTGCTGTGGACTTTCACTCATGTGTCTGCCTCTCTCTCTTTACATAAATATCACCACAGTCCTGCTCCTTTTTCTGCATAAATAGTAGTTTTTCTATGAGCGCCCCCTGCAGGTTTCGGGTCAGATACACAGACATATACAATAGTTTTGAGAGCATTTTTAGTCAGTGTGTGTAGTCGATTTTTGAGGCTAGTTCTTGTCAAACTTTACAAATTAATTAATTTTTACTCCATCCATTTCATGTTTTTTTGGAAATAAAAAGTAGTACGGTATCCTGATTAATCCGTGTATCATTCATTCATTCTTTTTTCAATATAAAACCAAAAATAAGAAAACGAAAAAACAACAGTTTTCTTCGTTATTTGAATCCAAAACCAAAATGAAAAAAATGGATAATGACTCATTTTTTCAGTTTTCGATTTTGTGTTTAAATGAAAAATGGAAAGAACGGATAATGGCCGTTTACGTGACTTCCGTGACTGTGATGTCGGACTTTTGCACTGCATACGGACTGAACCAGGACTGATCCAGGTCCAGGACCAGAGCGGGACCAGAGCGGGACCAGAGCGGGACCAGAGCGGGACCAGAGCGGGACCAGAGTGGGACCAGAGCGGACTCCGAGCCTCTGCAGGGTCTCCGCAGGCCTCAGCTTCAAGCTCCGGCCCTGCCGTGGGCTCTGAGCCTCCGGTCTGGTCCCAGTCTGGTCTCGTTCTGAGTCCCAGTCTGGTCTCGGTCTCAGTCCCGGTCTCAGTCTCAGTCTGGTCCCCGTCTGGTCTCAGTCCCGGTCTCAGTCTCGGTCTGGTCCCCGTCTGGTCTCAGTCTCGGTCTGGTCTGGTCTCGGTCTCAGTCTCGGTCTGGTCCCCGTCTGGTCTCAGTCTCGGTCTGGTCTGGTCTCGGTCTCAGTCCCGGTCTGGTCTCAGTCTCGGTCTCAGTCCTGCTCTGGTCCTGGTCTTGTCCTGGCCTGGTCCTGGATCAGTCCCGATTCAGTCCGTATGAAGTGCAAAAGTTCAACATCGCAGTCACGGAAGTCACGTAAACGGTCGTTATCCATTTTTTCCATTTTTCATTTAAACACAAAATCGAAAACAGAAAAAATGAATCGTTATCCATTTTTTCATTTTGGTTTTGGAGGCAAATAATGAAGAAAAGTGTTGTTTGTTCATTTTCTTATTTTTGGTTTTATATTGAAAAAAGAATGAACGAATGATACACGGATTCTGATTCATCACAGCATTAGGATTCGTTCGCTTGACGGTAGGCAGGTACTTTTTTTTAATTTAACCAATCACTGTTATTTGGTCATGACGTATGTAATGTGCCAAATCCCGTAGGAAGGAGGACAATAACGTTGCCTGGAAATGCAGAAGGACAGCCGCTGGTACAACGATGAGTCTGGATTTGTCCAGGCAAGCAATAACGTCTTTCCCCTTGATAAAATTCACCAAACATTCTCTTTGTTCTGGTTTTAAATCCTCGATCTATGGAATCGTTGCCAACACAGAATGTACGGCTCTTCGCTGATTGGTCAGTGCGTGGTCTACAACTTCCGGGGTTCTTGTAAATCGTCTAGTGCAGGGGTGCTCAATACATCGATCTCGATCTACCAGTCGATCGCCAAGGTCGTGTGGGTAGGTTGTAGCGGGTGCAGGGAGCGTGTGGGGCGTCTCAGTGCAGCCTGTGCGCTCATTTGAAACCCGCGGAGACTCTACGGCGCATCACAAACACACACGCTCCCTACGCACGGCTCGTCTGCGACAGCGTGTGCCCTCGTGTACCAGCCTGCATCACAGGGCAGGTTCAACTTCCTAAACATCCTACCTGTCCACCTGCCTCACGTCAGCACGCCGCCCCTCGCCTTTTCACGCTCTCGCTCCTTCCTGCGTACAGCCAACACAAGCCCCTCCCACAGTGCGGCTGATTAGAAGAGCAAGACCAAACGTGAAGCAAAAACCAGTCTAAATTTATGTTCCAGTGTTGGCACAAAGCAGGTCTACAGCATAGAGCGGATCTACAGAACAGACCTACTGCCACATTTAGCTGAACTTTGTCTAACAAAAGTGACAAATGCATCTGTGTTTGTCACGATGTGCGTTTGGTTTGGTAAACGTGCAGAG